AAGGGACTGGATTAGAAGAAGGAGCCTTATAAAGTAAAACAGGAAATAGGCTCATTGAACACATCAGCAGCACAGAGTTAATCTAAGCAGAAGCTTTCGCTGCATTCATTTTCTATGCCAGGCATGATTGTCATAAGACATGATTACATTCTATCAGTTTAGGAGCTATAGCTTGAACTACTATAGAAAACTGGTTTAACGTGATAATCATGTTAAGACATTACGTAGTTCCCTTGAAGATGGGGTAGACAATTGCATGTTTTAAGCACTTCAACAATATTCACAGAATCAAGCATTTAAGATAAATTGCTATATTAAGTGCGTTATTTAGGAGGTTTTTTCAAAGGCAGGGTTTCAAATATGTTCCAAGTACGTCTCTTTGAAATGTTCATGCTAAATCATTTTGATGCCTACTTAATATATTATTTATTATTTTTATGGTGCCCAATAATGTGGGAGGCACTTAAGAGAACAAGTAAAAGCTGGCAGCAGGCCCCTGCCCCAAAGGGCTCACAAACTGGATACTTAGCATGAAATCCTGGCTTTGCTGCTGTCAGTGGGTGCTGAGTTTAATGGGGTCAGGATTACATCCACAGAACAGGGGATAATGATATTTAAAGGCCACCAACCCTAAAAGCCACCTGTGATAGATTATTCACAGACATGGGCCAAATACTACTCTGTTCATTCACTGAAATAGGCAATGGGACTAAACATGAGAAATGAGCAGTGGTGCAGACATGCTCAATATTTGCTTGATAAGCAGGATTTCACACAATGCTAGGAATTGAGAGGATGCTAGACTAACTGCCTGATACAAATAGCTGAAAAATCTGTGAGAAACTACATGTGCAACAAAAGACTGATTTAGCAGCTCTACTAAGTAGTAATTTAGGTGAGCAGTAGATAAACAGACTTTCAAACATTATTTCATCACAGTCACCACATTTGAAAATAATGCCTTTTTTTTCAGAGGCACTTAGTTTAACATGCGAGGAATGTACCAACTTGGCCAAAATAACTGGTTCATACTTATTTCCAAATACCTGCCATTCCTGCAGGCATTTAAGAAGCTAGTCAAATACAGCATTATAGATACCATGGTGATATGAACCTTTAAAAATACCCACCATGGAATGATAGGTTCCGATGTGATTTTCCTTGCTTTAAGCAATTTGAGCTAGATCTTTGGCATTCTCTTATAAATAATGAAAGCTACACACTGCACTTTTATAACATCTTTCATCTAAGATCTCATAACTTAATTAAGAGGGACACTGTCAGGATAAAAATCATATATTTTTTATTAAGTAATTTCCTTACCTGTGTTACTAATAACACTTTGGGCTATTAAGCTGAAACAATTTTTAAATCTAATTTAATCTTCTACTATTAACATTTTTTGCTCTTGTTTTATTTTGGGGGGGAAATAAAAATAGGGTTATCAGCTTTACTTTTGTTTCTAGTTGTTTTCACTTGCAGATTTTCATGTGCTAGAATAATGCTCTTCCTTTGGGGTGGTAAAAACACTTTAAGTAACTATTTTAATCAAAATAAAACCTAGTTCTATTAACATTTACAAAAATAAAACAAATGCTTCTATTAATATAAGGCGTGTAAGGCACTTAATAAAACTAAAGCTCATATTTCGGTGCAAAGCTACCAAACACTATACTGTATTCCTGTTATTCTCAACACAGTTAATGAGGAAGGTGAGAATTGTTGTTGTTGTAATTTTTAGTGATAAGAGCATAAAAATCTGGCTTACCATGAGGAAAAGTACATTTAAGGTGCTGAGAGAAGTGATATTTTTGTGCAATTGACCTTCTGAAAGCACTCCACAGTCATGCCCTGACAGAAGTGCATGGGTGCAGAGTGCTTTAAAAGTGCCCAATCATGCTTGTTGCATTTAATGAAGGTTCACATGAGGGAGTACTGCATCCAGTACTGGGTGCCACACTTTAAAAAGGATGTGGCCAGCCTGGAGAGAGTTCAGAGGAGGGCCACCCGTTTGGTGAGAGGGCAGCAGGAGGAAAGGACTATGAGGAGAGACTGAGGGACCTGAACCTGTTCAGCAAGAGAAGGCTGAGGGGGGACCTGGTGGCTGCCTACAAACTCATCAGGGGAGATCAACAGCAAATAGGTAGAGCCCTTTTCTCCCCAGCACCACCTGGGGTGACAAGGAACAATGGTCATAAGCTGATGGAGAAGAGGTTTAGGTTGGAGATCAGAAGGCAATATTTTACAGTTAGGGTGGCCAAAATCTGGAACCAACTTCCCAGGGAAGTGGTCCTCGCCCCTAGCAAATTCAAGAGGAGGTTGGATGGTCACCTGTCTGGGGTCTTGTGAACCCAGCATTCATTCCTGCCTGTGGCAGGGGGTCAGGCTAGATGATCTGATTAGGTCCCTCCTGGCCCTAGCTACTATGAAACTATGATACTATGAAACATATGAAGGCGCTCCAAAGTGGAGCACCTTCATTAACTTCTGTTTGTCTATGTGAGTGAGCAGGGCCGGGCTGCATCAGCCCAGCTCCACCCCTGGTGCTGTCATCAGGAAGGGATGGGGGAGAAGGCAGGGGAGGGAGCTCTGGTCTGGGTTTTGCCTAGCCTGTGCTGGGGGGGAGGGGGGCAGGTGGATTGGAGCCCCCCTGAGGTGGGGGGCTCCAATCCACTTCCCCCCCCCCAAGTGCCACCTGGGCACACCACAAACCAGTGCTCCCTCTCCTGCTTTCTCCTCACTCCCATCCTGAAGACAGCCCTAGAGCTGGGGGGAGGGGGAAGGCGGGGGAAGGTTTGGAGAGATCCAGCCTTTCTCTGCTTTATCATCTCTGAAGTGGAGCTCAGTCCCTGCCTTCAACCAAACAGAGAACATCTGTTGGGTTGGGGGGTTTGCTGTAACTCATATTGCTTTATGTGAAGTGCCATGAGTTGCAGCAGGGAGCTGCACATCTGTCAGCGCCCTTAACATACTCAATTCAGCCTGGGTCTGCTCAGAGATCAAGAAACATACAGCGGCATGATCAGAGTCTTCATTCAGGTATTAGTTTCAGTAGAGACTGTGATCACAGAATACTTCTTAATAGCAACTCTAATTTTAGTCACATCATTAGACTTCAAGTGTTCTGGGGCAGGCACTGTGTTTTCTTCTGGTCTGGCCAGAACCTAAAAGATTTTAGGTCCAGCAATTGCTACAGTACTTATTCTTACAGTTTCCACTTAGCCCTTGGGTACACTGAAACACAGAGGAGGTAAATAATTATAGCCTTACAAGTCAAGTGGTAGAACCACAAATGGAGTCCAGGGCTACTACCTCCCACTCCACTGACTGCACACTAGACTACATTGCATCTAACTATCATTTCAGCATATTTAGTATCAGGGATAGGAAACATTCTTCCCTTAGCACTCCACATAGCTAATATAGCAACAGACATATTTGTATTTCAAGCAGCTCTCTTTGCTTAACATGAAGTATATTCTTTGCCTCTCCAGGTCCTTCCAGGTTCAACAGTCAGAAAAACAGGGATTTACTTGCATCTGTGGAGCTCCTGTCTTACAAGCAAAGAGGAGTTTTTACCTTTTGTTTTGCTTTTTATTGGTCCACTGCTTAGACATCAAGCCCAGGGGAGACTGCCAGCTACTAAACTTTTTGAGCAGGTGGAGGTTGAAATGGAAAGCAGGTCATGGAGTCAACAGCAGCGAGTCAGCTCAGCCTGCTTTTTGAAAAGAAAACTATAAGAAGACTGGAAAAAATAAATAAAAATAATAAAACATACAGCCAAAAGGAATCTCAGGAGCAGTCAAGAGCAACACAGTTGCGCTAAAGTTAACTTTAAAGAATTCCAACGAAGCCTGATATTCAAAATAGAATCTGACACTGTTGTGGAGATGAGTCACTTAGATGAGAATTGTTAGTTCTTTACAGGATCCAAATGAGATACTCCTGGTGCTCTGTTGTGCATTCAGTCTTACAACTAGATGTGTCTAGTACTTCTCAGGGCTAAAGAGTTCCATAGTTCAGTAACCCAGAGACAACAAAAAGTCAGACCAAAGGCCACCTTATTATCAGATCTGAGAGATGTGCAGGATGTGGAGGTCTTGAATCAAATACATTATTAACCTGTCTGAAAATATGCTTAATTTAAGGCATTGTGTGGGCTATCAAAAGCAGCCTTTTGTTGGCTGATTGGACTGGCTGACTGGACTGACGAGTATTTGCTCTTCACTAGAGTCAATCTAACAGCTTTAAATCAATCATTTATTATTCCATAACATAGCATCATAGCGGAGTGTTAAAATCTGTTTAAGTTGTACACAATTTCCATAGAGAAACTGAAAGGTTACTTCCAAATATTTTGAAACAGGGAATCCTCAGGTCAGAGCATAATTTGCTAGAACTACAGACCGTTTCACAATTTTTTGCCCATTCAGGAACCAGGGCATATGATCTACTGCTTAAGGCACAGGTACAAGCATCAAGAATTTGATACATATACAAAAGATAAACTTGCTCTGTAGCACTCATCAAGATTTTCAACCACTTTTTGTTTCAGTTTCCCCATTTTTACAGTATTTTGAATACTGACATGGAAGGTGTATAAATACTGCAAAGTTTGACTACTGTTAAACGTATTTATCTGGACTGATCAAACTGGCATTTTATAGATCTGGTAGCATAAATTCTGTGATCTGATCTTAGTAAGAATAGTTGTTTATAGCTGTTTTCATTAGTCATTCAATAGCTATTTTTAATGAGCAACTGTATTTATAACTAGAAAATGTAAACTTTAACAGTGAAATAGCACTTTGCAAGTAAAATATAATGTAATTTTAAATGCCATGTATCAAATTGGAGAATCCTGAAAATATTTTGCCTTCTTTCTAAGCCATTATTAAAAGCAGAATAGGAGATTTAAAGCACTATTGCTCTAAGCTAGTACAGTCAAGTCAATAGCCTTCAATTCTTCATGTGCACCATCTGTCCACTTTAACAGAGTCATATATACATCTTCAGAGGGGAGATTTGACCCTACATTTCTACCTGAGTATTGCCAGGGGATTCATTTTATATTTAAATGCAAACCCCTGCATCACCAATGTAAAGCCATTACTGAAACCAGAGCAGAAAAAGGCACAAACAGCTTTCATAACTTAGAGATAATGCTTAAGCAATTACATTTTCACTCCAATTAATGGAAAAAAATTCCAAAGCTAGATGCACCTGTTTACAGAAGAGTTAACACAGACTCTGAGAGCTGATAACCTTATCTCAAGAGTAGCCTTAGCACACAGTGGAGGTGCTCACGGCATAGTATCCTGTATTGCTAAAGAGATTAACCAGAGTATAGTTTTTACTCACTGGCCTCCTTCCTTTTAATATAAAGGGCAAGAATTTCAAGTTAACTATTATCCTGAAATAATTCTATTAGGACCCTGCACAGCAACATTTATTACGTGTGTCCACTCTAAAGAGAGGTAGCAAAATATAGGTAGATGACTTCCCAGAGTTGAATGCTGATTATGTTAGGAGAGAAAATATGTAGCACATATCTCAGTACTATATAATACATAACACAGTAAACAAAATATTACTCTTTGGTCCAGCCAATGAAAATAAATAAAGTATATATATTCTACATCTCTCTCTCTTTTCCCCCCCCCATCACCCCTTTCCTCTTCTCTCTCCCTTCCTTCCTTCTCATGCATTCTCTAATTCATTCATTCATGCATTCATTCTCTCCCTTTATCACCCACATATCCACTCATCATATAACATGTCCATCTTCTGTCTCTTACCCAAACACATTCTTGAGTCAGGATCAGTTCCTCATCCTGAGAGGAGCCCACCTACTGTGGTGGTTGCTGGAGATCATTGCAGGCACTGGGGAAAGATGTGCTCCAAAACTTGAGAAGGAGACACTCTTGTAGCAAATGAGGGGCCACAAGGGGGGAGAGAAGGTCCTTGCTCTTGGGGAGTGGTGGCTATTGGAGGAGAGAGGGGATGAGGTGGGGATGAGGGAGAGAAAGAAAGGAGGAATAAATTCCAGAGTCCCAAAAGGAGCCACTCCTGTGCTAGCTGGGGATGAAGAGGGCCCTGAAGAAAGAGACAGGAAGTGAATGGAGTGAATTAGTCTTTCAACATTAGGTGTGGCATCTGTAGGGCAACCAAAGTAGGGGTACTGTGCAACAGCTCAACACAGAAATGTCCTCCAAGGACAAGCACTCTGGCCATGTAGAGCAGCCTTAATCAGGCCTGCTGACAGAGCAGCACAGGGCCCCAAAACTTGAACAAATGCCCTTGCTGTTCCAGTCGGGCAGTGACCCTGACCAAGCGATCTGGGTTCTGTTCCTGCCTCTGCAACTAACCAGCATAATATCCCTTCTCCTCTCTGTGACACACTTTCTCCGTCTGTCCCTGGGACTTCTGTAAAAGGCTTCATTCATTTAATGCTATAAAGTTCTTTGAAATCCTCAGAAGCCTGATGTTATATAAGTGCAAATTATTATTCTAGATCTCAATATATATCCAAAGCTATTTCAGGTATTACCAAAAGGCTCCACTGCAACACATTAAATTGCCATTGTACTGAAAAATAATTAACAACCTACATTTTGGTTCCATTATTTGAACTATTTGACTGATTAGCAAATTAAACCAAATCTTTAAGCTGCCGGGGGAGATATCAGAAAACATTACAAAGCAAGGCCAAGGAAGAGATGTCTGAAAGGAAATGGGACTAAAAATGAGAATTGGAACCCATTTATTCAGCTCATTAAGGCAAAACAGCAGGTAAAAGTCAAAGTAATCAGATGCACTGACAAAAGATGTTCCAAAGAATACTACAGAAAGTGATCTAAATGAACCCTAGCCAATAATCGGGACAACCAAGTAATCAACAGACCAATCCAAAACAACTGACAAAGTTTATAAAAATGGTATATACTGCCCCAGACAGAGGCATAACCAAGGGTTGCGCTTGGTTTTAATCTCAAATAAGAACCAACATAAATGTCAGAAGCAGTATACTATGGTCTGAGTACAGACCTGGTATGTAGGGGATCCTAATCATGTCTCCAACAATGTAACCCCATGTAGTTTTAGGCAAATCACTTTGCCCTCTCTATTCTCTGAGCATAACAACGTCATACTGACTTCAAGGTCAAATAATAATATCCCTTCTGAACCAGGGGAAATTTGAAACTAGGTTCAAAGTCATTGGCTAACCCCTTGATGGTTTGGATTGCAACTATGGATCCAAACAAATCAAAAGTTTGATGGCATACCTGACAATGAACGTTATAAGACTTCATTACTTTTAACTCTAGCACACTGAGCTATAGCTAACATCTGCATAGTGCTTCAAGAATGAAAAAATTCTATAGAAATCCCCCATTATTATGAATAGAAAAAAGCATATTTAAATTACAAACCAATTGCCACTACAATTCCTGGGTTGTGCTGGTTAAGGTATTGGACCAGATTCATACCTAAGTATGAAGTGGTGTAGTTGTAGGGAAGTCACTGCAGCCGTGGTAGGTTGCATTCTCTATACCCATGTGTGGGTGGGGAGCATCTTTGAAAAACTTTCTGTGCCACTAGCTATTTACTCTACTAGCAGAACTTTCTCTTCCTTTCCGTTCCTGACTCCCCATATTCCTGCCATGGCAGGATTTCTTGCCCTTGCACCACATGCCCAGCTGTACTCATCAAAGTGGAAAACCTGTCAGCATTGTCTGAAAGGCACAGCTTGGGATAATTGCTCCTCCTAGCTCCCCTGTCAATGAATATTATCATATTCTTCTCCCTGGTAAGGTTGCTGCAGCACTTCATACATCTGTACTCCGAGCCGTGGAACAGATCTGTTTTCCTTTAACAGAGTGTGTAAAATTGTCGCCCAAAGTGAGGGAGAGCCCAGTTTTAAATTTTGAAAGAACCAGTGTCAAAAGCTCCATTCACACGTTTGCTTTCATGATTGCCTTGTATGTCCCAGATGTGAGGAAATGAGAACACATGTCTATATACCATTTACAAACACAAGTCCATATAAGAGCTCAGAATGGATGTTTGTCATCGCTGTACTAGAATCATCACTTCATACATCTAAATACATTTGTAATCTACATATTTTAAGTCTATACTCTAAATGTTTTAAAGGAAAAAATATATAACACTACCTTTATCCTAACAACTGACACAGTGGCCTCTTTGGCAATGGCAATATTTAAGAAAATATGTGGAGTAAGCAGATACAATATTTAGTGGGTGCACAATAGATCCTAAAGGAGAAATTTTCTATTTATATAAGGCCTCTGTCTTGGCAGTATCTGAGCTCCTTATAACCTTGACTGTGTTCTTCCTCACAACCATCACTCCTGTGAGGTAGGAAAGTGTTGTTATTAGCCTCATTGCATGGATGGAGAAATGAGTAACAGTGATTGAGTCTGTGGTTGCAGAGGAAGCCTATGGAAGAGTAGAGAAAAGAAACCAAAACTTTTCTCTCTCAGACTAGTGACCTAATGACTGGTCCTTCCTTTCTCTGAGAAAAGCTTCCCAAAACACTTCATAGGTTTGTGGTTGAAAAGAGGGCCCCAATTGGGTCCCCAGTTTTGCCCAATTTTTGCCCCCAGTTTTGCCCAGTTGGGCAAAACTCTTACTGGACTTCAGTGAGGCCAGGACTTCACATTTCATAATGACCTCTAAATGCTCTTTGTTGTT